TTCCTTGGATATCCACTGTATTTAACTTTGTACATTCTAAAAAATACTCTGATCTATCCTTTTTCGGTATAAAATAGATAACCTCACACTTGTTTATATTAAAATTAATCTGCCACAGCTTTGCCCATTTATCTAATCTACCAATATCCTGTTGCAACTTTATGTTGTTGTCTATAATGCCACCCAACTTGTGTCATCAGCAAATTTGGATACTTGATAAAAAGTAAAAACCAAAAGAACTGCAGATGCTGTAAATCAGGATCAAAAGCAAAGTTGCTGGAAAAGCTCAGCAGGTCTGGCAGCATCTGTGAAGGAAAAAAACAGAGTTACCGCTTCGGGTCCGGTGACCTTTCCTCAGACTCTTTATGTCATTATCCAAGTCATTAATGAATACTATAATGAACATAAGAAGATAAATCTAGAATACAAAGACTAATCAGGTACTTTTCCAAAAAAACCTAAACAAATATCAGAGCTAGCTTCTTCTTACCTGTTGAAGGAGGGATAAAACAGATTCAGAGACATCAGAAGGGTGAACTCTCACAAATGAATGAAAGACTGAATATCAGTGTAGGAACAATCTTGTGGCAACCTCAAAAAATCAAAATGAAGCAATAAAGGATGTCATTGAATTCTGTAGCCTGCACTGGTACTGAAATGTTTTTCCCTGATATTTTTCTCCTTTGTCCACCCTTAGTATCCATGTGTTATCTATCTTTCATGTCTGTCTGGTATGTGAGGGGATTATTTGGGAAGGAATTGAGTTTAAGTTATAGAATTATAAATTAGCAATTCATATTATCTTTGTGGCATTAGTTGAAGACAATTTGTCCACAATTAGCAGTTCTTTCTTGTTAAGTACACAAACCTGGTGAACATACTCTTTTAACCGGAGTAATTAAATGGAATTTGGGAAACTTGGTGACTTAATCAAATTGTTACATTTGTGGCAACTCAGGGAACAGTGGGGCTCAATTTTACAGTGCACTTTCTAGTGAGTCGTGACAGTATGCATGTTTGTGTTGCAAAATGTTCCCATCCTCTCTGTGTTTAATATAGTGCAAAAAAAAAATCCTTTTTCTGTGTCTTTTTTTAAAAACTGTGGTTGTGGTTGTGGTCTTTACAAAGTCAGAACCAATAAGTGGAGGGAATGGGGGAAATTACAGACAGGTGGTGAGAATAGGGAGAGAGATTTATTTAAAAACTCAATTTGCGACAAAAGATAGAAGATGCATATGTTGTCTGTGTTGGTGTTTGTATATGAGAAATTGAAAAACAATTCTCAGTTTACCAAGTACACCAATTGTGCTATTTAATCCATTTTCTAGAAACTTGAGAGGGAAAAGAAAGAAGAGGGGAATAATATTCACTTAGGCAGCAAGCTACCCTATTTTACCTTGCACAATCATTCCTTTTGTTAGTTAATTACCCCCATCTTCCACTGATCACATACTTTTCCCATTATTCTTTTCCACTCCACATCAATCCTCTTTCCCTATGTCTGTACTTGTTTAAAACCTATTTCACTTCTAACATTTTCCTACGCTGAAGAAAGGATGTTGACTGAGATAACTCCATTACTGTCACCACAGTGACCTGCCAAGCACTTTTTTGTTTACATTTCAGATTTTCAGCATGTTATTTTTCACTGTTTTTGTATAGAGCGAATTATCCACCTATTATAGAACCTTTCGGTTACATTAAAATTAGTGGTAATGAAAATGTGGCAGCTTACATATTGGATGAGTGATCAACTAAGCCAATTTACTATAGAAGTTGTGAATATCAAAAATAGTGCAAAGGTTTTTTTTTGATAAGCTAGAGTTGAATTTTCAAAAAGCTGCCTCCCTTTATGAAACAATGAATTCTACACTTTTCTGCAAATAGCTATTGGTCCTGTGAGTGGCACTGTGATTTTTTAGAACTAATCACACGTTCCACAATATAGTCTTCCTGCAAAGGAACATTTTTATTAATTGTGAGCTCAGTTTAAAAAAAAAGACTTTAAGTCTTAATAGAGGCTGTGGCCAATAGGAGAATCTTTGGCATTCTCTGCTGCCAAAGAGGTCTGGAGTCCCCATAGTTGAGCATAGTTAAAGCTGGGATAGACACCTTTTGGTCCCTTACGGGAGGTTGTCATTATTGAGCCAATTGCCATCAACTTTAGAACTTAGTGGCGCCTCAGGGATTCCTTGAGAACGGCAGGGCTTCCTTGTGCCTCCAGAAGGCCGCTCAGCAAAAACTGTGGCCTTCCACGGGTTTCCGTCTTTCAAAAGCTTCATTGCCCGATCTAGAGACCCTGTACTGGGCAGGACGATGGTCACAAAGTCACCGTGTTCTCTTGTCCCATCCTCATTTCTCACCTGTAGAACCATCTGACCCACACTAACTTGAGTCACTCAGGAGACCAGGCCTTTCCCAGGTTCATTACTAGCAGCAGCTACCACCTGCCTTTAATAGAGAACTGGCAGCTCCTGCAAGGCAAGATCTCTGCCTTTGGGTCTGAATCCTGGAGAAGGCCCAACATTGAGCACTTAAGAACAAAGAACTTAGTCTGGTTGAGCTTCCACCTCAGATGCAACTCGGGTTTTCCTGCAATGGGCTGAGTCCACTTCATTTAATTAAAATCCACAGACCAAATTTGAATTTGTTTAGTTGCAGCATTTGTATGACAATGACAAAAAAGTTGCACACTACCCATACTCTACCTAGGTATTTATGACAGTTGTAATTGGCTTCAAACCTGTGTATGGTATGATTAATGTGCTGGCGTGCATGGAAACTAGAATGTAGCGTTGAAAAATCATTGGTTGAAAATTGCAAAAGTAGGCTGGAAGAGGATCAGGTGAACAGGAAAAACATTTGGGACATTTGATTAACCTTACTTTATGTCTCTTAGCTGCAATTATGTTATGTTATTTAAGGTTTTAGCAAAGATGATGCTTTTTTTTCCCAAGAATATCTCAAACCACCCTTAAATTTTACTTTAACCTGGCAATACACTGCATCTTTTACTTCAGTTTTCCCAGGTCACTTGGCACACATTTTTCAATTGTTCCACAGCCTTGTGACAGTCAGGAGCACTGTTGTGGTGGCTGTGCAGACATCTGCCATTTAGGTGAAGTTATGGAAGTCTGCTCTTGGCTAAAGATCAGCCTAAATCCTCAAGGAGTTGGAGTTCTAGTGGAGAAGTACTTTTTTGACTGAAAATATTGACAAATACACTCAGTGGACTTCCCACAAATCTAAGCACTTACAAAAAGTAATTCAGTTTATATTAACTGCAAGTTGCTTTTAATTCATGTTGAGTTCCTTGGTAAATTGTATTTTTTTGGTTTGGTCATCTCCACAAGGAACATAAGAGCAATTATGTCAGAACTTAACTAATTTATGGAAATTGAAGTCATGTAGAAAAGATGCACACATTAAATATTACCAACCAGATTTTACTATTTTGTCCTTGACCAGCATTTATTGTAATTGCTCCTAATTATCAAGGAGATGGTGGTCAGCTGCCCATTTGACCTACTGCAGTACATAGCGTAGGTAGGACCCTTCTAACATACACACAGCAAGTGGCCAAGGAGGTCAGATAGTGTCAAAATCAGATTTTTTAAAACAGACTTCAATCATCTGTGCAAGTAGACTACTTTAGTCTGCATTATGGGTGATTTTACATCAAGTTGTATTTCCACAATATGATCTCTTTAGTAGGATCAATAGTTTTAAAGTTAAAAAGTTAGAGGTAATTTCAAATCTAGAGATAAATGGCTGTTCCATAGCAGTAACTGCAGAAACAGCATTCTGGTTCAGCTTTACAATAATTGTTGAAATATTATTGCAATGACATTCAGTTTGACTTTACAAATTGAAGAATAAAGTTAACAGAATATATCTCAAACTCTTTATTAAGTGCAATATTTAAAAATGAAAAAAAAGTTTCTCTCATTTGACTTTTGCACATGATTTATTTACAAAAAAAGGTACTTGACACCAAGATACTCATTACGAAAACAAAACACACCAGAGTTTAGACATATTGCATTTGAAGTCATACTGAACTTCGTGATTTCAACCAGTTATTGCAACAGATTTTGCAGTGGTTTTAAACAAACACTATGGAGCTCTGTGTGGTCAATTTACTCTCCTCCTTTCAAGGCAATTCTCCTCAGTAATGACTTTGCAAGCACTTAAGATTGCTGCCAAGTGATCATCCTACACAAGAGGCTAAACAGTGGATTTCGGCAGTCTGGTTTGTGAAGACGGGGGTTTTAAAAAATAAAACAAAAAAAACAAACAGACAAGCCTGGTCCTGTCTTCAGAAATCTTAAAATGTAGATTTTGCCAGTTTCCTAGTCCCTCACCCAGAGGTGCTTTTACTTTTAAAATGGTGAAATCGGTATCATTCCAACTAAGGTAAGTGAACTCATAGTAAAGGGTCTGAACCCAGCATCATCTTGGACCGTATGGCTGTGTGTTTCCAGTATCTTGGTTAAAAAGTACTACTCTAGCAGCTTCCAAAAAACAAAAAAGTACGATAATACACCCAATATCAATTATTATTCAGTTAGAAAATTTATTCCATTGGAAATGGAATCCTTTATAAAAGGCATTTTAAGCACAAGGAATGTTTCTCCAAATCAAGAATTAGAAACCTGCCCAATTCAAACAGTTTGGGTCAAGACATAGCTAGATGCACAAAAACAAACAAAAAAAAAAAAAAACAAAAAAAAAAGAAAGAAACTTTTTGCACTCTGCCCCAACCACAGAAAAAAAAAAGCACACTATCTTGCAACAATGGATTTCTTCACCTGCAACCCCTGTCATATCACATATCAAGCAGTGAACTTGCCAATTGTTGCAAAGTTAGAAGTATTGCACTGTAGGTTCATCCCTACAACCTAAACTTGATTTGAAAATACCAATAAACATTTTGTACATGACCCTTATGGGAGGCAGGAAATAGACACACTTTTATCCCAACAGGATTTGAAACCAGGTACCGAATAAAATTTTAATGAAAATTAGCTGCAAGAAAACCCTAATGTATTAAAATGCAAGAGCTTCAGAACATCAATGATCAAAAACAATTTGTGAGAACCAGCTGAGTGAGTTGCTTGCCTGCAAAACAGAAAAAAGTTTAAAAAAAAAATCAGCCATTAAAGATAGAATATAGATAAAAAGGATATCAGGAGGGATCATTTTACTCATTACAACATTTACAATGTCATTTGAAATGAAAGGATTATTTTCAGTGTTTCAAAACACCATAGGGTACATTCCTAACACTGTTTGATACTGGTGGCGAATGCCACACTGCAGAACTCGTGCGTTTCAGGTAACGTGGCTTGCTTTTGCCGAAGATGTTCTCAAGGTTTGGGGGTTGAATGATACCGAAGAATTTGTCTGCATCAAGTGGGTGATAATACTGCTTTATGAGCGCTTGCTGCAATTGGTTACCTGATGACAGAAAAACAATAAATGGCAATGTGACAGACTGGAACTGTTACAATTCTCTAAACCGAATATGCAAGCCATTTAGCAATATTACTGATACAGGGGATTTACAAATTTCTCCACATGGTGGTGGTTTTGGAGGATATGGATATTAGGATAGGGAGGACAACCCTATTTGACTACAATCACTAGGCTATATGAAATATCTGTTCCCTTACAGAAGCCTCATGACCGTAGTGTTTTCAGTATTTTCCGATTTCAATTCAGATTTCCAGCACACTTTCCTCACTCCCCCTGAATTCCATTGAGAAAAGAAACCCATCTCAACAGCCCAACATATGGCTCAGAGAAACCAGAGGTGAATAAGAGGCAATTTCCACTTGCCCCTGAGAGAGGAGGAGGGTGGCTGTTTACATCACAAAGGAACATACATATTTGGGAAAAAGTGGTGGGACCAGTAATAGATTGTTGGGGCAGATTCAGAGGCAGCAACATGAACATTGCAGATAACACTGGACACAACTGGAAAGATTTGATTGATACCTGGGGTGAGCGGACCCAACCAACTGAAAGATGGAGGCACATTTCAGGAAGCTGGAGATGGCACAATAGGCTACAAACACACACGGAGAGGGAAGATCAGAGGTTTAAGGAGGGTGCTAACAACACATTGGAATGGAACAGGAACTTCTTGCACTTGGAGACAAGTTGGTTAGGGGAGGGGTTTACAGGAACCTGTTGGCAGTGGAGCAAAGAAAAAAAAAAATCAGGTTTCTTCATTTCCAGAATAATCTAGGAATAGTTGCTGGTCTTTGGCATAGAAGAAAAACAACTGACATAGAAAGATATTTGGCAGGTCTGGCAGCATCTGAGCAAAGTGAGATAACATTAACATGGGAGTCCGATTTGACTGCTTTCTTTCAGTTCTGAAGAAATGTGAAGAGATTTAAGCCATTGAAATGGGAGGGGGCAGGCAGAACAGAAGAGAAGCTCTGAGATTGGGTAGTGGGTGGGACAGATCAAACAAAAATGTTGTGAATTGAAGGCAGTGATAATGGTTGTAGGAAAAGAATAGAATTTCTCCAGATTGCAAATGGTAGCACACTGTTCAAAAACAAAAGCAAGGTGAAATGCAGAACAGCACATGGCAAGAAAAGAAAAAAGTTCCTTGTTTGAAATTGTTGAACTCAACGTGAAGTCAAGAAATTATGAAGTGCCTAATTGAAGGTATGGTGCTGTTCTTCAAGCTTGCATTGAGCATCAATGGAACAACGAGCAGGCCAAGGACAGAAAAATGAGAACGAGAGCAAGATACTGAGCTAAAATCTCAAAAAAAAAAAGGGAGGCCGGTGTCATGTTTGTAGACCAGGTTGGAAATGTTTTGCAAACTGTCAGCCAATTTGTACTGACTCCCAAATATGTGGAGGAATTGTACTGTTGGCTATTTTTGCACAATGCAGACTAAGCTCTTGTATGCATTAAAAAGTGCTGATGAGGAATTTATTACAAAGATTTCAAATGGGCGTTATTGAGCTTCCTCTTTTTGGCTTCTACCTCTCCTCCCCAATTATCATCTCTAGACAACAAATTCAGAAAACAAGGACAAATGCTTAATTGTGAATCTTGGATTCAGTCTGTACCTTTTGAACTTAGATTAAAGACAAGAACTATAACTGGAGACCAAACCTACATGAGAAAAATGATTTTAAGAGGAACAAGGGCAAAAAAAAATGGTGAAGGAGTAGTCAAGGATGTAAATGGTTGCAGACAAGGCTAAAGGACAGCCAAAAGGCAAGATAGCTTAGACTCTGAAGATATTCAAATTGATTTAATGGAGAGCACAAGGAGTAAAACAGGAGGGTAGAGATGATTTGGAGCTGAGGATGTTGCTCACAAGGAGGCCCATTAGAGAAAGCTAAAAAGGGGTAACAGGTAACTGAGCTTATTCTGTCTTGGATGGTCACAGAGCAGAGAGAAAGAGAATGGTTGTGGTTGGGATTCAAAAGAATCTTCACTACTAAGATGTAATTTGTAAACTGAGTGTCAGATTTTGGAATAGCTCTAAAGTTAGATGAATGGAATTCTGGCCAGGTTTGTGCACATAACTTCTATCAATTGATAAACCATGTTAATTTAGATGTAAACTATTGTGACTGCAGCACTAACCTCCACCCCTTCTCTCAATTGTTTACCCAAAGTTAATACTTAGTTGGAGTGGAGAGTGGAGACAGAAAGCAAAAGAGAAAACTCACCAGTGAAGATGCCCATTTTAAAAAAAAATTGCAACAAGCTAAACTTCTCCACTGATTACATGGAAAAATTTAGTCTTGTTTGTGCAAAAATTGAAAAGGAATAAGCTTACATTTTAACCTTTTCTTGTGAGCTTATACTAGGAAGTGTGTGTGTCTGTGTGTGTGTGTGAGAGAGAGAGACACACACACACAAAAAAGTTTCAAGTGGATGGAGTATTTCTAGCGTCTGCACTATTTTGCTTTTTGTTCCAATAATGGTGTATAACAAATCAGTCTGCCCAGACCAAAACAGGCTAACTGAGCTAATAATGGGGATGGAACTTGAAAGTTTATTTACTTGGATTTAGCTACCTAATAAAATTCTACATTGATCCGATATTAGTTCCTTACCATTAGCCCAAGTAGGGATGGGTTTACGTGGTGCTCCCTCATCATCTGTTGAATCATCACTTTGTAAATCCATCCCATAAGTTTCCAGATTGACTTGAGACAACTTGATTTTGGAATAGCCATTGGGAGTCATAGTGGAAGACTCCAATACCGGCAAGTGCTGAAAAAGAAAAAAGTTAATCCATTGAAACCCCATATATTGTTGAAGCATCAGCTTTTTTAAAAAACACACTCCCTTGAGTTCTCAATGCAGTACACACTGCTCTTTTCCAACTATACCACAACATTCTCACTTGAGTCTTGAGACAAGTGTTTTGAAACAATAAATTGTCAGACATAATGCAGTCTCAAGGTCCCTCAACTATGATAAAAGGAAATTCCTCTCTAACAATTTTTTGGGATAATGATTCAAAATATCAATAATTGCCCTACAGTGTTCCAATATACTTTTGGATTTTAAAAAATTGATTATATTAAGTCAAATGATCGAACAGCCTTATCCTTTGTCATCTCCCTCTAAGCCCCAATCAGTAAAACACTCACATGCACCTCTACAGTTACATTCAGTACATTTTTGGTGGAGACCTCTTCCTTCACTTTCATGTCTTGTTCTTCCTTGCATTTTCTTTGATCTTCACAAAGTCCATTCTCATTTTTTGGCTGCTCTGGTTCCACCTTTAGACTTGCAGTTTCCTCATTTGCTAAAGACAGGCTTCCCAGCTCTTTCAATTGCTGCTCTTCCTACAAACAGGGACATAAACATTATTTCAAATCTTGCTTTCAAATCTGCTTTCCTTTAATGGCCTTTAAGTTGCCCAACTGTAACTTCCTCAGCCCCACAGCTTCCAAAATAGAAAGAAAATTCGTTACAGAAGGATGCCAGTCAGCCCATTGCATCTATGCCAACTTGGCAAGAGAGGTATCCAACCTATTCCCATTTTCCAAGTTATTAGTTTGAAGCGGTGTTAGGACACTTCAATGCATGTTTAAGCTTTATCAGAAAGTACATGGCGGGGTTCACCTTTCTCATCCTAGACCAAAAATTAAGCACCCTCTTTACATTATTATACGTCAGCTCACCAGTGTAATTACAAGTGGAAAGCATTTTAACATTAAATGTTTACTTTCAGCTTGCCAAAGCATACTGATCAAACATTTCAGTAACTGGTCTGTAAGACAGGAGCACAAGCTATTTGGCTCATTGAATCTTTGCCACCATTCAATGAGATCATGGCTGCTCTGATAATCCTCAGCTCTGCTTTCCTGTGTGCCACCCTTCCCGCCCCAACAAAAGGCCAACATTCCATTTGCTTTCTGAAATGAACAATTTCTCCACCCAAATCTCTAAGCTTTGGTACTTAACTAGAAAAGCTGAAGTTTGTACAGTTCAATACATATGCAGTAACTTGACATGCAAAATTGAGCTAATAGCTCTCATAACAGAAATGGTTGTATGGAGTCAGTTACCATGGTTGGCAAAACACTATACTTAAAGATAGAATTGACAGTAATAAAATTATCATTTCAGACACATTTGTCCAAGACATGGACATGACTCAAGTATTCAGTTTGTAGCTCCACTTTGAAAGGGTTATACATGGGTGGGGGGAGGTAGGGGGTGCAGGGTGGTCATTCAGAACACGAAACTCCCACTAGGAAGCAGCCCGTTACCAGCTTGCTTTCTTTCTCTTGTGCTGCCTCATGAAGCCGTCCTTTTTGTACAGCCAGCAGTACAGCATCCTCTGCTGTGGGAAGCTCCAACTTCTGCTGCAACTGGACAGCTTTTTCTTTCTCTACATGTTCACGTTCTCTGTTAAGAGAAATTTGTCAGTCATTCTAGTTTTCCAGTTAAGACGACACTACTGAGCTTGAACTCCAAAGATAAAAATAGGATCCCTAACCAATGTAGTACTGACTTTAGTCTGAAGAAGCATTCTTATTCACTAAAGTTACACTGTACCAGAGAAAGATCATAATGGTGCAGACTTGAACCTAAACTGCGACACAATGAACACTAATGCATGCATGAAATAAATAAAGGGAGAAAATCTACTGGGAAATCACAGGCATGTGTAAAAACTATATTGGTAACATGGTGATGGTGCTGGTGAAGGGGAGAAGGGTCCATACGTTTCTCAAACATCACATGGGGTGTTGAGAAGACTTCCTTAACCAAAATGCTTTTGTTCAAAAAGAATGGAGGCAATGCTAGGATCTGCTCTGAAAATGAGGCAGATCAAGCAGACCAGCCAAGTGCATCTGAAAGAGTGTGAAATGACGACGACAACGACAACAAATGATGCATGCTAAGTGAATCAAGCCAATAAGTTGGAGAGTGAAAACAAAAGTCAGCCAGATATGATAATGATAACAGAATGGCAGTTAACAGTAATGGGGATCCCAAAAATATTGTTGGACGTGTATTAATAAGTCAATATATGGATAGTGTAGAAGAAATGAATAAGGTAAATATTGATGGGCTAGATGTATTCAAAAGGCTGTCTGAGTTTAAAACACACAAGTTGGCTAGTCCAGATGGTTTCTATCCTAGGTTGCTAAATGAGTGAGGCTGGAGATAGAATTGAGATGTGCAGGAGCTATCGAGTTCATCGTGTCTGCACCAGCTCCGAACATTTTAACTTGGTGCTGATCTCTTGCTTTTTCTCCATAACCCTGCGTATTGGATATTTCTAATTAAATCAATGCTTTCTTGAAAGCCTCAATTGAGCCTGCCTCCTCCACACTTCAGACAGCAAATTCCGTTCCCAAATTGCAATTGCCCCTTTTCTATTATGACCTATAAATTACTTCATATCTGTCATTGTATCAGATGCATTTTAAGTCTCAGAATTAATACAGCACAGATCAGTGCTGATCTCCTGCCTATTCCCCCTACATCCCACTATACCATATCTACTCAAACATCCAATTTCATCTTGAATGCCTCAATTGAACCTGCCTCCCCCATATTCCTGAACAGTGCATTCCATACACTAAACTACTCATGGTATGCAAAAGCTTTATTCTCTCCCCAACACCCTTGCTTCATTTGTGCAAATCAAATCAATACTTTCAATTGTTTTCTTCAAAACAAAAACACAACAGGAACAGCTTCTCACCATCTACTCTATCCAGCTCGCTCATGATTTTGAGAACATCTATCTCAACTTTCTTCTCTCCAAGGAACACCGTCCCAGTTTCTTCAATTTATACCTAATAACTGAAGTTTCTCATTCTGGGAACCATTCTTGAAAATTGCTTCTACATTTGCCAATGCATTCACAACTTTACTATAATACGGCACTTACAATGGTGCAAAACACTCCAGGTGAGGCCTAACAAATGTTTTGGACAAATTCAACATTATCTCCACTCTTGTACTCTATGCCTCCGTTAATAAAGCAGTATTCTCAGCTTTATTAACTGCCAGCTCCTGTCCTGCCACATTCAATGATTTGTACACAGAAGTAACATTTGCACCAGGTAAATGCCAGGCTATGACCATCACGAATAAGAGACAATCCAACCACTGTCCCTTGACATTCAATGGCGTTACCATCAATCTCCCACTATCAACATCCTTAGGGTTACCATCGACCAGAAACTCAACTAGACTTACTACATAAACAGTGGCTGTAAGAGCAAGTCAGAGGCTAGGAATACTGCAGTGAGTAACTCACCTCCCTGACTCCCCAGAGTCTGTCCACCATCTACAAGGCACAAGTCAGGAGCGTGATGGAATACTTCCCACTTGCAGTTCTAATATCACCAAAGAAGCACGCCAAGGATAAAGCAGCATGCTTGATTGGCACTACATCCACAAGCATCCACTCCCTTCAATGCTCAGTAGCAGCAGTGTGTACTAAATATGAGATGCACTGCAGAAATTCACTCAAGATCCTCAGACAGCACCTTCCAGACCCACAATCACTTCCATTGAAAAAGGACAAGGGCAGCAAATACATGGGAACACAACCACCTGGAACCTTTGCCCTCCAAGCCACTCATCATCCTGACTTGGAAATATTTCACCGTTCCTTCACTGTGGAAGAATCAATATCTTGGAATTCCCTCCCTAATGGCATTGTGGGTTAACCCACAGCAGGTGGACTGCAGTGGTTCGAGGCAGCAGCTCACCACCACCTACAAGGGCAACAGGGGACAGGCAATAGCCTCATGGTATTATCCCTGGCTGTTAATCCAGAGACCCAGACGATGTTCTGGGGTCAAATCCCCACGGCAGATCGTGGCATTTGAAATCAATAAATATCTGGAGATAAGAATCTAGTGATAACCATGAATCCGTTGTCAATTGTCAGAAAAACCCATCTGGTTCCCTAATGTCCTTTAGGGAAGGAAACTGCCATTCTTACCTGGTCTGGCCTACATGTAACTCCAGACCACAGCAATGTGGTTGACTCATAACTGCCCTTTGGGCAATTAGGGATGGGCAATATATGCTGGCCTAGCCAGTGATGCCCTCATTCTGTCAATGATGAAAGACGAAAAAAAAAAAATGCTGGTTAGCCAGCGACACCAACACCTCATGTGAATAAAACAAACTAGATCCTCTGCTCCTGTAGCTCCTTTAGTATTGCACACCTATTTTCTATTTCAAATGTTCTTTCAAGCAATACATCACCTCACTTCTCTGCATTGAACATCATCTGTCTCCAATCCTCCCACACCAACAACTTGTCAGTGTCTTTTTGGGGTTTCAAACTATCCTCAGGTTACAATTCTTTAGGTTTAGTGTCATCTGCAAGCTTTGACATTGACCCCCACACACCAAGATACGAAATATTTATGTATAAAAATCAGAAAAAGCAAAGACTTCTTGGAAACTCACCAACAAAGTCCTCTAGCCCCCAAAAATTTTTAAAAAAAATCTATTGGCCATTTCTGTTTCCAATCGCTCAACCAATTTTTGTACCTGTGTTGCTACTGTCCCTTTTTCATGATGACCTACAACTTTCCTAACA